GCGCTACCTACCACGTCGTTTTTTTGACATTTCTACTTTCGATCAAATTAGGGTGGATCTTTAAATGTCCTTATTCAATTTATTCATTATTAATTAATGTAAATAAAATTCATCATCAATATGAACAAAAATTAAATGATTATAAAAGATTAGTTAAGGAAATCAATTCCTTACTCGATAACAATTTTAATCATGTTGAATAATTTCGATGAATTATTGAAAAATTAAAAAAGATGATTTATGAAAAACAAAAACAATCGAATGAATCATTAAGTAAGAACGTTTTTAGTCTTTGTTTAAATATTAAATAGTTTTGAAAGAAAAACTTAACACAGAGACAAAGACATAAATATTTAAGTGGAAAGTTAAATGTATTGCTATTATAGTAATAAAGTTGAGGATAAGTATTAGTACACTTGCGAATGTTACTGTATTGTTTGTTTTATGTTCATTATACTTTGATGCGGTTAGTATAAAATGCACTACACTTCAACAATAATGATACAACTTATGCAGGTCATGATGCTGTTTATAGTCGTCAATACCCATTTAGTACAGTATCAACCTCATGTGAGTGTTTATGAATTATAAATAAATATTTGTCATATATGAAAACTTCTGTCTAATTTATATTCTATTTGTAAGACATAAAGATAATAAATAATTAGAATATATATTCGAATTTAAAATTACATTTTCTTATATAGATGAGTGTAGTAACAAAACAAAATTCGAGTCGTCCCACTTTTTAACATTTTGCTCAAATAAAAATAATTCTTTTCATTATTGATTCATATACCTGTAAACTTTTATTGTATATCTATACTTCAAATAGAAGAACTCTATCACAGTAATTTAGTTTAAACATTTATCTCGGTCATTATTTTATTCTAATTATTTCGAGTAGAGCACAAAAATATACATAAGTTATTTTAAAATACAAAATATAGAGGAAATCATCATCAACATAATACAATGATCAGATTTATATTAATCAATGAAAAATCTTGTATAAAAAACTTTTAACTTGTAAGTAATTATAAACAAATGATTTATCCTTACATGATTAATTTTTGAAAAAGGTTTAAGAATTCGTCAGAAAAAGATACAACTAGGAATTCTATTATATTTTATTCGATATATCATCGTCTATAGGACTATATTAACTCAGATAAATGACGTTAATTTTATTTTTGGTACAAATTCAACTTTTAGATATTTTTATTCAAATGATAATCAATGTTTAGAATTACACAAAATAATAAATAATATTTATCTATTCAGGAGTTGTTGATAAAAATAAAAAATGAATTATTTTCATAGAAATTTATATTAATAAATAATCATTGTCAGTAATTTAATTTTTGAGATTAAAAAGAATCTCATTCCACCGGTACATTTGCATGACTATTGCATCGTACAACCAATACAAAAGGAAGTCTTATAGATTATAATATTCATACCACCACGGTCGTGGTTACGCTCTTTTTTCATCGCGTCGCAGCAGTGGCTCATTTCCATCGGCGATGGATATCTCTGATTCTTGACAAACTCATCTGAAAATATTTAAAAAATTGATTTTATCAAGTGCAGCTAGTTAGAATCTGATAATAAATATTTATTACCTTTTCATCAAAACTCTTTGAAATTTAAGATCAACTTTAATTTTGTATCGTTTACAAAGTTTTTATTAACTTTCGGTTTTATTTCAAATATGTTGTCCATTTCTCTTTCGAAATTCTTTTTTTTCTATTTTTCTCTCAGTAAAAATGTTCATTAATTTGGTTTTAAATTTTTAATGAAATTTGATTTCAGGTTTCAAAATAATTACCAAAGCCAAGCAGAATAAAATTGGAAAATGATAACATTTGGTGATCAAAATTATGAAATTAAATTCAATTTTAAACAAAAATAATCAAAAACACTTTTCTTCGTTTTTTCCGATCGAAAAATTTCTTTTTCTTCAAAATTCATTCAATTTTTTATTTAACAAAAAGTTCATTTACAATATTATTTCAAACTTTTTAATTCGATGTTCCGAAAAATCAACAACATAAAGATTTCCTTCATTATCGAAAGACAAACTATAGGGATAATACAATTGATTTGATTGACTTCCTTTACCATGTCCACCAACAATAGTTTCACCTTTTTTTTCCCCTTCACACCAACGCATTACTCGATGATTATGAGAATCTGTCACATAGATTTGACCTAAATCATCAACAATCACTCCTGCAGGACAAGACAATTGATTAAGATTTCTTCCTTTACCATTTCCTCCAGCCACAATTCTTCCTTCTTTTGCATCTTTTCTCCATTTCATCACACGATGATTTCTTTGATCTGTTACATAAATTGATTGATCTTCATCAACAAACATAAAAGTAGGATAGTGGAATTGATTGAGTTGATCTCCTTCACCGTTTCCACCTGCCACTATAATTCCTTCGTTGTTATATTCACCCATTTTCCATCGTCTCACTTCATTCGTCCACGCATTAGAAAGGTAAAGAAATCCATGTTTATCTATTGAAAAAATACAACAGTCAATATTGCCAATGAGAACTTGTTGATTTTGATTTATCCATCGAATCACTCGTCTGTTATCACGATCAGCAATGATAATCAAATGAGTTTGTTGATCAACAATTACATCTGTTGGTCGATCTAACTGATCCATTCGATTTCCTTTGCCATTTCCACCTGCAATCGTTTGTCTTTCCTTTGCATTGTATTTCCATTCGACAATGCGATGATTATAAAAATTAGCGATGAAAATATTTTTGTTTTTATCAATAGAGATTCCAGCAGGCAAATTAAGCTGATCTAGTTTTTGCCCTAGCCCAGTTCCACCAGCCACAGTGATGGCATTTTGTCTCCATTTATTCAATTTTGGTTCTAGGAAATAGTGAAAACAGATTTTTATCAATCAAAGGTTTGTTGAAAACTTACTTTCTGATGAAATAATTGAAATATCATTAATAAATGATTGTGAATCTTCTTGGACAGAAATATTTGATGAACTATTTAATTTTTGTTTAATTTGTATTAATTGATCCTTCAAATAATTTAAATTAATTTCATTATATTCATTTTCTTTTTGAATTTGTTTTATTTGTTCAGTTAAATCAATAAATATCATTTCAATATTAATTAAAAATGTTTCTGAAGATTCAATAACAATTTTTCTACAATCTTCTGCTTTCTCTTTAATTTTTTCAATTGAATTTTTTTCCCATTCATTGATTTGTTTTATTAATGTCTGATTTTGTGGATATTGTCGATTTTGTTTTAGTTTATTCAATTTGTCTTTAAATTCATCACAATCATTAATAAGACATTTTAATTCTTTATTTAAGTTTTCTTGATGTTCTGTTAAATGAATTAAACAAAACTTTTTTGAACATCCATCACAAAGATATGTTATTTTTTTCTTTGTTACATGTAAAACATAATGTTTTGTTATTTGCCATTGCCATATCGTTGAATATAAATTTATAGAAGAAATCTAAAACGAATTTTGTTGTATCAAAATCCCACTAGTAAAACTTATGTGAGAGATGAATTCGAAAGCTCCGGTTTGTCCTTGTATTGATGAATCATCTAATCTATACATACTTAGCTGAATTTGTTGTTGCTAATTGACTCATGATAGAATAAAACACCAGGAATATCGTACAAATAAAAAATAAAACAACAAGTAACGCTCCTCCGAGGACTCGCTTAACTCTTTCTCGTAAAAATGCATTTTCTGCACATTTACCGAAAAACAAATGGAAACCGTGGAAAATCAGTTTTCGTCGTTTTTTGACCTTTGACCCCTCTTCACCCCCATCCCTCCACACGGTCACCCTATAGTCCTCAGATTCGGACTCCCCGTATCGAAAAACGTATAAAAATAACTTTTCCAGAAAATCGATTTTCGATGTTTTTTTGACCCTGCGGACACACAAGCAAGCAAGCAAGCAAGCAAGCAAGCAAACAAACAATTTATGTTTACTGGACTCTTCTCTACGAGAAAGAGAATAATACTCTTTTCTTCTATGTCTTTGAAAATATACCATGTGATCATTATCGAAGAAAACGTTCGATAAATACCCATTAAACACAAAGGAAAGAAAAACAAACAAATACAAATTTGATATTTTTCCTCTTGAAAGTAATTTTCGTAAGCGATTTGTTTTATTTCGTCATCGTTTGCGTATTGTCGAGTGGCTTTATATGATAATTTGCTTTATCTGTTTTCTTTCTATTTTTGATAAAATTTTGATGAAGAAATAAAAAAATTGTTAATATAAGTATATAGTCGATTGCGTAGAATATATGACGATCTCTTTAGAACAGAAAGCATTATCAGTTAGATAAGAAGTATAAGAAAAATAGAAGAATAAAATCACAGTATCAAGGTTATTTTTTTATATCGATGAATAATTTCTTTTTTTCTATCAATACTAGCATTACTTGTTTATGTATATTCTTCATAGTTTTTTATTTTTGTATTGTAATCGTAGATTCTTTTTAAAGGTAGTTTCATGTTGGAAAATTCGTTTATCTTTATTTCACTAGAAATTGTTTTTTGATTCATCTTACACATGTGAAACATATGAACCAGTTGTAGTTTGTTGAGAGCTATGAAATAATTATTTGTCTCTTGTAAAATGATATCAATATAATAAAAATCGGATAACTTTCAATATTTATTAGAAACCAAGATTTTTATATTTTAGGAACTTAGTGTGAGAGTTTAAATGTAGGCATCATATAATATTCGTCTGTAATACATTCATGTTCATATTGGAATCTATTTTAGAGACTCGGAAAACTAGGTCATTCTATAGAAAAAGCTTTGTTTCTTTTTGCTTACGATAATGTCATGTAGATTTCCACTATTGTTTAAGAGTGTGTATCAAGATGGGATAGACGTAGAATTGGATAAGTAACGAATACAAAACTAACAATCACACCCACACCCTTCGATGGTGAAATCTGATCGCATTTATTTTCGATAAAATTTATTTATCTGATGAATTTGATTTCACAATTATTTTCACGAATATAATAAACCTTAATACAAATCTGCAGATAACATTGTCATCCTATACTTTCTCAAGATCTGATTCATCGTTTGTTGATTCTCATATCACCGATTTTGTTTTGCATTTATTATCATTTAAAAGAACAAGCAAAATAGTAGGTATGTAATCTTGCGCAGAGGTGGTACCTTATCCAATGAGCGTTTTGCGATAGGAGAGGTTTTTGCTACTTGCAAACTACTACCAATGCCGTCACATCGATCTATATGGTCGATGTAATTTTTCGTGCTTCTTGAGAAGCATTAAATCAAAACAGTAATAGTAAGATTTCATTATTTTTTTTTTTGCTGCTAGTTCAAAAGATCAACATTTCTAATGCTAGGATCAATTGGAGATAATATACGTTGCTTGATGTTCAGAGCATGTTGATAATATGAAAGTGCTTTCGAACATTATTTCACATTATTATAAGGCCAAGCAATGTTATTGTATGAAGTAGGTGATGAAAGATGATTTGAAGGGAAAAATTGTTCTTGAGTTTCAAGTCCTTGCTCATAATACTAAATAGCTTTTTCATAATCATTCTGATCATCCTTGACACATCCAAGCTGATTATAACAAAGCACTTTTTCACCATTACCAAATACCTGTTAGAGTAGTATGTTATAAAGTACTTCATACTCATTAAATTGATCGATTTTATACGATAAGTGACCCAATCTATGCCATTCAATACCACTACCAGCTTCTTCTCGTATATGATCAGTAAGTAATCGTAGTTGTTCATCATCATCTCAGATTAGGGTATGGTTGTGGGTATTGTATTTATGTTACACCCATCCATTAGATTAATAAAAAAAATATAAGTATTGAAGAACTTCGTACTCTTTGTTCAACAGAATATACAAATAAAATTACTAAAACTTATACATGACATGTCTTATATTGGATTGTACAAACAATATAAATATAGAACTTTTCTATGAAAGATTTTACACAAATTTAATCATGATTGTAATGATTATCTTTGTTCATTATATTTTGATACTGCAGTGGCAAATAATGAAAATGATTATATTGATCGATTTATCTAAATAATAAATATATACAAAATTTCTTTTTCTTTTCATGTGTTTTGTTTGAAAGAAAAGAATAACTGATGATTCATCAGTAGCGTTCTATATACAACCACAACACGTCTAGTTATTCTATGTATATAGTGAAGAAAGGATGAATCACTAAGATTTTTTTACATATATATACTTATATCGGATGTTTCTTTTAAATTATTTTCAGCTTGCATGACATGGATTCATGTATCCGACAATTACGGTTCAACCGATCTTATAGTACAAATATACAGAAATCAGTACGTCATGTTAACAAGAAGCAGAAAATGTAAGTTTTACAAAAAAAAAAAGAAATTTATTATTCATATTCGTTTTTATATAGAATATCGATAACTTCCATAGAAAATTTGCCCAATGAAATTTTCTATGAAATATTCGAATATCTCGATGGTTGTCATATCTATGAAGCATTTTTAAATCTTAACAATCGTTTTAATGAACTTCTCAATTCTTCATCACTTTTATTTAAAATTCAAGTTCATTCATTATACAAAGAATCTTATATGGATATTTATAAACAACTTATACTTATTAATAAAAATAAAATAATTTCATTAGATTTATTCTTATCAATAGAAAATACAGATGAATTCTTGTCATTATATTCAATTGATTCATTATTTACTCATCTTGAATCACTTTCTCTTGAAAACGTTGCAGCCACTATACTTACATCAATTCTATCTAATTTAACTTGTCTACCTCGT